ACAGAAGACAAGGTGGGCGCATAGGGGTATAGAGGAAAGAATTAGGATTAATACACAAATGTCTGTCCTGATAATCGTTTATAATTATAAACAAGGAACGTCCAGAGAAAGGGTACAATAAAGTGTTGACAATGAGGAATAAACTGTTGATCCACCTTTGTGATATTTATACCCTACAATAATTCAACAATGACACAACCACATGTAGGAAACGTAATGTTTTACGACATCAAAGTATTGATAATTTTTAACCAATTTTCATTTGGTTGATGTCCAGACCTCTCACTTACTGTCGCCAGAAAAGAGGTCTGTCGTAGTCTACAACTCTCCTTTTATGCAAGAATCCTTCAACTCATGTTTTTTGAGAATGTTTTGACTTTCTTATGATAAGTTTACTTGAATGGTAAAGCTTGACATAGTTCCTGGTGTGTATTTTTGTGGTTTCCACCAGTTATTTTTTTTTTTATCTTTTTTTCCTGGTTATGACATATTTCCTGTGACTCCCGTTAACAGTTATTGAATCAAGACATTGACCTCGACTACTTGTTGTTTTGTCTGAAACAATCCCATAATATATGCCCTCGTGACCGTGGGGGTCATAATAGACCCATGAAAAATATTACTTAAGCAGATTCATGTATTTTAAAAATAGTCTAAATAGGCTTCGCAGGTGTATCTAAGGTTACACATTAGGCTAACGCTAGGGGGTTTACATGTATTTCACGGTTATATGCATTAAATGTGTTGTTGATTCAGGAGGACGAACGACGCTTAAAGAGGCTGTGGCAAGTATAATAATCACATGAAAAATTAGGAGCATATTTTAAACCATAAATCCATTTTCTTGTCGTATTTCTGCTGTAAAAATATATGCATGCTTACACAGAACACGTTACGAAACCTCTTCACACTAAACGGTGATTTATATGCTTACGAAACACGATTTAATTGTAGCTTTATTGTAGGTGTATACATGATCGTTGTGTCGGATATCTAGACAACTGTCGTAACCAGTATGTTTACATGTTACATCCAGATATCATACACTTTATATACATAACATGTTAGTTATCAGAATGTCACCGTTTATATCAAGTTTGGTTTTCATTTTATGTGTTAATGTTTGTACATCTATGTAAACAATGACACACATACACACATATGTACAAGTTATCTGTTGATGAAACATTCATCTGTTACATGTCAGGAGAAATACAGGTACAAAGACAACGTATGTACTCGTCCAACAGCAGGTGTGGATCTATTTGTTTTGATTTTTTAAAAAAATAAAACCCATCTAACATCTATTATTTGTCACGGATAAGTAGCAATGGCGGACTTTGAAAGTAAATGGCTGAATCCAGTCACAGGGACTGCACGAAAGGATTCCACTCAAAGGTATGATATTTACTAGACAGCCAGTTTAATGGTATATTGTCAGTATTTTAATTAATTTGCATGAAATATCGTATTATATTTTTCACTATGTTGTTGAAATAACGATGTCCATATGCGTATCATTTGAACCTATTTTAAATGACGGCGACCTTAATCTGTTACAAACTCCGCTGTGCTTGTACCAGATTCACGGTCTCTTGTTATAGAGTTGTCAGCTTAACAACAAATAAAAAAGAAAGAACACCTAGACAAGTATAGAAACAATGTACTGAATAACAAGCAAGATTTCAGAAAGAAGGGAGATAAACACATCAAGAGATTCGTTAGCGTATGTTATATAACAAATCTATGTAAACAAAACTACAATAACAAACTAACTTGTGTTAAAGTGTGCAATGGTTTGGTATAAAAGGTGTATATCGTATTTGCTTCTTATGTATTAGTCAAGCGTTACATAAGATGTGAGAAAAGTAGATACAGCAAAAATTAACGTACGATGAAGATAGGCCTCAAAAGCCTAGTTTGTGTTTGGAAGTCATTTTTTTGTTACTTAAGCATGTTTGATATGTATCTATATACCGTAACACAACTAATAGATGGTATATACATATTATATCAATACAGAAATACCTTCAGTATAGGGAGTTTCTCGACTCTTGGTTTTCAGAGCTTTCTGTACATTTAAGTCGTTAATCTTTTTGTAAGATATACTATTTTATATCTGTCCATGATACAAGTATAATAATACAAATTAAATGAGCATTTTATAATTCAACATTTTGAAAATTTGCACTATCCTGCTGGGCTAACTTCATGTATACAGTAACTATAGTAGGAGTGGTGGAACGGTTCAGAATATACACATGTACAAGGCATTCTTTTAAAATTGTCAAATATATAACAGTTTAATTAATTATTAGGGACCTCTCCATCTAGATGTTGACATTTCTTTCTATCACATTAAACATTAACCACTGTTAAAATTTCGACTTTCAACACTACTGACGAGTTCTAGAAGGACGACACAATTGTATGATGCATTTTAACTCATCGCTTCGTTTTGATGTATCTTGCTGTGTGCTATTCACTTGAGTGTCTTTTGTACAACCTTCCATGGGCCAATTGTTGTCCAAAAAGGACTAGTATGTTCGATGGTATTTCGTCTACATGATAGTGCATATTGGGATTGGTCATTTTAGTGATGAACTTCAGTTGATAACAAAAGATCATATCGTTCACAGCCGATTTGACGATGTTCGTCTTGAGGACAGTACGCAGCAAAAATCAGTGGCTGTTATCGGAGCTGCTGTGTCTGGGTTGTGCGCTATTAAACACCTTCTTACCAAACAAGGAAAATTCAAGCCAACGGCTTTTGAAAGAAACTCATGTATTGGTGGAACGTGGGTTTATAGTGAAAATACTATAGATGTGTTTGGATTGCCGGAACATTCTAGCCTTTATAAAAATCTGTGGTAAGTCGATATCACGTGCATTCTGTGTCGTATTAACAATTTTTATCACTTAGTTTTTCTTACTAAGTATTGTTCATTTGCGTGGGAAAAACCTTCGAAATTGCACGTGGTAGACACTGTTGGTGGATAATTAGTCCCCGAGATTAGCCGTAACATGCATGCCATGTTTTAATTTAATCCAATAGAATGAACACTTGAAGTTCTTCTAAAAAATATCAGATATTGGAAAAAAATCGAAATTTCCTGGATTATGGAATTACTGCATCTCCCTATCTATTTTGACATTTCTTTCGATCACTTTGGGATTTCCTTAGTTGTCTCCTAGGTTTCCTCACTAGCCTCTTAGCTTCACTGACGAGTCCAAGAAGGACGAAACAACTGAATGACACCTTTTAATTTATTGTTTGGCCCTACTGTATCGTATCAAAATTTGCATTAAATGGTTCTATTTACTTGTGTGTGTTTCCTACAAACTTTCACTGCTCTCACTTTCACTTTTAAACTCATCATTTCATTTGACTTGGTGTTCAGTTAGTGGAGAGTAAACTCGGAAAGCCTCCAATTGGACGAATGAAACACAACAGTAGATTGTAAATAAGTATGTAGGTAACAATTCTGTTCTATTGATTGATCATTTGTTGAATTGACAGGATGATATCGGTCAAATGAAGCAAGTGTTAAAGCTATCACAGATAAACTATCGATCATTAGATAAACTTGTTTTGCAGGTCTAACAATCCGAAACATCTCCTAACGCTGCAGGGCTTCCCTCATGACCAATCAGGAAGATCCTACATCGATCATGAGACGGTGTTGAAGTACATTGATGATTTCTGTGACCATTATTGCCTTAAAGATTTCATACAGGTAAATAGGCAATGCAGTCCTATTAAAATACAGATCATCACAATCCTATAAGGTAGTGTATAATGGTGATGTGTAGGTTAATTCGATTATCAGACAATGATGTCGATGAAATAACATAAAACATTCATCTGTCCGTCGTATTTAAATCACATTTAATAATGTGGTATAGTGAAGAATATGTTGTATGTTACAATCATCTATATCAATGTAGCAACCAAACAATGGAAACCAAATATGTCTTAATTTGTCATGTCATGTTATCAGTTATCCGTGTGATTTAGATAATGAATATACCGTATAGCCAGATATTTCCGCGGGTCAAAATATCCATGTTTTTCGTTCTAAAAAAAAATCAAATTTCAACGTTACCAATGTCTTATAAAATAAAACGGCCTCAGGAAGAGACGTTTATGAGAGGATCTGATACTGGAAACGCCTTGTTCTTAAGTTATATATGAACAGAGAACATGGTTAACGTAAAACATGAAATTAAGTATAGTTTCCGACAGAATGTTTGTTTTGATATGGCCTTAACAAAGAGAAGTTTATACATATTCTAGGAATATTATGTCATTAGACAATCTGAAATCGTGTTCACCATTATTGGAACATACCCTAGACAGACTAAAGTAAATACTGCTATACTTAAGTACTGCTATATTGGAGGCGGAAGGTACAACATCGGACACCTGAAGAAGTGGATTTGACTCATAGTAACAGTAAAGTGTTCTGGCGGTTCTATCGGGAACTACTAATTTATAAATAGCATAATAAGAAATCGTTATATTTTCTTACTGCAATGTGTAGATGTTCTAGGGTAGAATAACCCTATAGGTACCTGTGGTACACATGTACAACTTGTGTCGATGTTCGAGGGTAAAATAACCCTGTATGTACCTGTCATACACATGTACAACTTGTGTCAATGTTCTAGGGTAGAATAACCCTGTACGTACCTGTCATACACATGTACAACTTGTGTTGATGTTCTAGGGTAGAATAACCCTGTAGGTACCTGTTGTACACATGTACAACTTGTGTCGATGTTCTAGGGTAAAATAACCCTATAGGTACCTGTCACACACATGTACAAATTGTGTCAATGTTCTAGGGTAGAATAACGTGTCAGTTACCTACGTCGCCTTATACTATTTCACGAATGTTTGTAATACCTTTTGCTTTTACTCCACTTATTGCATAGAATACCTCAAGACAATATTTTTTCTGTTCTACATATGTTAAAATACGCAGTAGAAATTTATAATGGCGATCCGTATTTCAATCCGATTGAAAGCTTCAAACCCATTTAAAATATCTGTTTACTATTTTAGAAATTATGATTATCGTGTAACACCAAAATATTTACAGTTTAACACACTTGTGAAAGATGTTCTTCCTGTACATCACCATGACGGCAAAGTCACATGGAATGTGAAACATTGTCACCTGAAGAATCCAAACGAAATCAACACACAGGAGTTTGATGCCGTCCTAGTTTGTAACGGGTAAGTTTTTTAAAGGCCGTAGTTTAAATTTTCAGATGTATCTTTCCATTCTTCATGTTGTATAACAATGGCGATACGAAAATAACAGGAAATATATACTTTTCAGGTTATGAACAATGCTTGTCACATTTTTTGCTTGCATCGAAGTTCTGCTCATCAGGAACCATGTTTTCCGAATTGTTTTCATTCGTTGAACAGGCATTATAGCAAACACTACCTGCCCGATGTGCCCGGAATGGAGAAGTTCTCTGGGACGGTGACACACAGTAGGGAGTACAGATTGCCTGATCCTTACTTAGGGAAGACAGTACTTATCATTGGAGCGTCATTCTCAGGACTCGACATAGCCACAGATATGAAGAATCATGCCAAGCAGGTAGTGATGCCTTTATCTATCAAATTTTACCACATAAAAACATATGCCAATGGCATTCATTCGAAATTAATTGTAAATTAATTAATTGAAGAAATGACTTATAGGTAGTTGCGGCAGTAATCTTGTATCTTGCCTTTTTCGATACTCCAGGGGTTACGCTATCACTCTCTGGACCTCTCTGGAGTATCGAGGAGGATGTCATGCAAAAATGGCAGAAAGTTTTGATGTCTTGGTAACAGTGATGCTTATTATGAATTGCAGATCTTTTTGAGTCATAGAAACGGTGCATTGCAGACAGAAATACCTCATAATGTGACAGCGAAGCCGGTCGTCAAGCACATTTCTGAGCAGGGGAAAGTAGTATTTGTTGATGACACGGAAGCGGAAGTTGACAGTATATTGTTCTGTACCGGATATGTTTACGACTTCCCTTTCTTGTCCAGTGATATCGTGAATGTCAAAAATCAACGCGTGACACCATTGTACAAGCACATGATACACTTAAACTATACAAACCTTATGTTTATAGGTATTCCATATCGAATGTCTTATTTTCTGCAAATACATGAGCAAGCACGTGCAGCAGCCGCTATTTTGGAGGATCCTTCGGTGTTGCCCCCACCTGAAAAAATGATGGAAGACTCTGATGAAGACTTGCGCCGGAAAATGGAGATGTATAATTTGACCGAAAAACAAGCTCATTTTTTAGGGATCGGGGATCTTCAGTGGAAATATAACGAGGAACTGTCGTCCTTATGCGGTTTCGAGAAACTTCCAGAGGTGTTTCATGGATTAGCGGTAGATGTCGCGAATCAAAGGACAACTAATCATTTGAATTTTCGGAAACGGAATTATCGAATTAATTCTAAATCTTTCGAAATTGTTAATGATTTTTAAATATCGTTTTAACCACGTTGCCTCTATTTTGGTAGACTTTTCCTTCTCTTCAAAGTTTGAAATCGTGAATAAATATGGCTGCATCCCTGACAACACCACTGAAGGACACAGCTGTAGACTGTTTTGCATGTCATCGATCAGCGTAGAAAATATTTGATACTTTTTTGTGTGCCACTTATATTAAGCGAAGTTACCATCACATCATTTACAGTATATATCAACATGTCGGTAGATGTAATATGAAAGTGCAAAATATAGACACGGAGGTTTGTGACACTTTACTCAAATTTGATCTCCCTTGATATAATCAATAACGTTTACAACCATATAAAACCCGTTGTTTTTTTCCAAAATGTATTATAGAGTCAACTTGCAGTTGAATAATAGCCTCAAGATCTAGGTTTGGGCCTCCATTTATCCGTTAAAGGTCGCAAATAGTTTTAGTTGTTATGTCTTTGTAAACTTTTTAAAGGGATAACTTTCCTACATAAATAAGTATACGTTCTAGTAAACACGATATTTTAGAAGTAAATGGTTCTGAATTTGTTTTAGTAGTACATTATTCTTATACTATTTTAAAAACTGAATAAAATATTGTTAAGATAGTGGATATCTTAAATTCTTTTGAACGGAGGAAACTATCCCGGTTTTAGAAATACCCGCGAAATAATATCACATGGTTTTGACCATCTTGGACTCAAGGTCATTTTAATTGTTGAGCTAAATTCTACCAATTAAACTTAAGAAAAAGTAAAAAAGTTTGAAAAACAAGTTACTCATCTCTAAATCAAAAACATTATTTACTCAAGTTTGTTTTAATGTAGTGGCTATCCGCATTTGTATATAGATGTTGATACTTCCTTGAGCCATATGTTTTCCTTATTTATTTATTTATTCAATTAGGTAGTTTTCTACAAGGAAAAGTGATGATAACAGAAGTTTGTATGCTGAGGCCACTTAATTTTTATCCTTTCTACGTATGATATACTCAATATCGTTTCGTTTCTTGATTCACTCAAGTGAACCAAGTTATCTAATATTTAAGTAAAGAAAATATTTTGAATTTTAGAGACTAGTGAAAATGCCTGTTACACTAAAAACATTGAATGAGCTGCCCGAGAAGCCAGAATACTGCCCAAACTCAAATTTGATTGGAATGTTGCCAGATCCCTCCTGTCCTGACCATATGTAACTGATATAGGTGCCATAATGGCCTGTCCTCTGCCGGTATATCAACCTATGTAATTGTTTTAAAACAAATCAGTTATAGTATCTGGTATAATATATATAGTAACAGATAAAACGAGTACAAAAATGAACTCAGATGAAATATATGGTTGGTATGGAATTGACTATAATTATTTTACTATCGTCTTTCTAAAACAATATCCTTCTTTGTCATAGAAAAAGTAGGCAAATGGGGAGCCATCCATCCTACTCTGATTCCCTGCACTGGAGGCTTAATGCTTCATCTGACATCATCAGTTTGAGAGTCATTGCAACGTTTACACCTCCATTGTTCGTACAGTAACAGGCCGGGGCGGGTAGTGGAGAGGGCGCTCATATGCTTTGTTTTACCTGTTCTTTGTTACATCATACTGTGTACTCCTGCCAGGCTGTGATGACCATATTCCTGCTATGAAGGCTACTCCACCTAATGAGCAGGGATCACAGTGATTGCTTATTGATATGTTTAAATAATAAAGCTTGTTGAAATTCAGTGTTTATGGTTATAATTCCGACATATATAAAAATACTATTTGCTACATGTAGAAAATCAACATTGATATAGTATCCATAATATGGATGACATACAATTTACTGTTAAATTCTATACCTACATTTTTATTCCTAAATTCAACAATCTTCCCTCTGTCTTACTAAAAATATTATCGATTTTAAGATGATTCTTCGCACTGGAAAAATAAGGAGCGAACAACGTTGTGCAATAGAATGGTCATTCATCATGATTGGTATTGAAAAAAATAAACATTTTGTATCTTTTGGTTTTTGAGAAAATATTTTCTTTTAAAGATTTTTGCCATAGTTGAATCCTGTAACATAGTTCAAGGTGATTTATGATATAAAACTTGATAGCCAATGACCTGCGCTTCTTAAATATGAAATATAAGTATTTGATATATATCTAAAACAAATTTTACAACTTTATTGACCTTTTAAAAGAAAAATTTCAAAATAAATGTTAAAGAAATGCTGAAGACAAAAAAATATTGGCATGACAGTGTGCATCGATCTGTAAAAGGATTCTTCAAAAAAGAAATTAAAAATAAATAAATTTAATTTTGACCTTTGACCCAACAGCGAACTTTTTTATTTGACATATTTTGTATTAACATGTAACGAGCAAAATTTAGATATGGAAAGTATCTACAAATAATACAAATGCACAAACTCTGTTCAATCTACGATTTTCAAGATATGACTATTTTATAGTTTTTTAACGTATGACGTCATGGCGGCTACATTGGATTTTTAACGTACTGTAGTTAAGAGAAGAAGCATTGACACCTTCAGATACGTACCTACAATATAGTGAATATACGATAAACGCATCGCTTATCAAAAAATTAAGTTTAACTCAATGTCTTTCAATTATCATCAGCAACATTTGAAGTAACGATTGTTCTTCTATTGTAAAATCGTAAATGGTATAATCTCATTTCATATCGGAATATTCTATTCTATATTTCAAGTCCCCTTTTCATTTTGTATAGGCAAAGGTTTTTATTGTAGACATATATCTGCATACTATATCTAGTTTAACACAGCAACCATATTTCCGGTCACTTCAATAGCGTTTCATATGGTGTAGTCAGGTTATAAAGTGTTCAGATAACTTGACCGGAAGAACTAGATTGCCAACAGATAAAATAGAATACATTCCTTTTGAATTATGTCCGACTTTGTAGTCAAAAGTCTACTTTAAGGATTTAAGTGCAGATCGGAGTGATCTGTTCGAAGATACACTGCGATTAGTCTCGTCGTGTAATTCTGGCTACACTTGATCACAAAAATATCTAAAACATATGTATACATGTATCGTCTGTTATCTTAGCACTCATTACATCGAAGATACATTCATGCACATTGACAAGAGCGAGGAGGAAAAATTCAAACATCAACTCATAAACTCATATTAATTATATAAGCACTGATTGTTTTTGTTTTTATGTCTAGATTTAATATTCTTGGAAATTTCTATCAGACAGACAGACAATCAATCAATCTCACGGACAAATCACAATAATTGTCGAGTTTGAATAATATTCACAACAAATTCTTACATTATGCCCATTTCACAAAGGAGCTAATAGCTGAAATCCTAGTACTTTTTATTAGATAGTACTCAACTAACATATTAATGTAACATCAATATGTTAACATTCGTAAAACCGAGACGTAGTATTTTTATTTGATAGCACTGAAAAATTGAAGGAAAATGCACGTCAATATGTTAACATTCATAAAACCGAGACATCGTATTTTTATCGGTAAAGTGTTTGATTAGTCTACCAATCAAACAATGTTATTGTTCATTGCAAAGTATGGACATTACCGCCTGTTAAATATAACATATAACATAGACGTAACGAAACCCCCAACTATGTTTTACCGACGTTACACACACAAAAAGTTCATTGTAAAAAGGCGTGGTCATGTAATGTACTTTTTCATGTCGAAATACCACAATGCCATTGGTTTGTTTAGTCATCCTGTCTCTTATAAGGAGTTTAATGTACTCATAAATCGACAGATGTCCATCAATTTATATTCCCTACATGATACAGTTGACAGATTTGACCACGTCATCAGAACAAACATCGCCTGTATTTGGTAAGTAACCGTGTATGGTATACATGGATAAATTGTGAAGAACATTGTGATATTGAACATATATGATCCTTACTGATTGTGAGTTGAAAACTATTCTAAACTACCAATTTTTTTTCAAAAGAAACAACAAGTCCTTTTGTCGTCTACTCTGCTACATCGGAGCTATGGAATACAAAAAATGTGAAATTTGTGTTATGTTTATATCTGTTGAAGAATTATAAGATTACGATAGAATTTACACATGCAACTAATACAGGGTAAACACAAATTATTTATGCATATAAATAACAACACATTTGTGATTTGTTAGATTCATTATCGTATCTTTTTTCTTGATACAATGATTCCGTATGATGATACGTCTTTAAGGGTTAGGACATAAATATTTCTATCTGGTTAATTCAACTAAAATATCGAAAGCAAGAATGAGAATTATAAGACGTTCATAACTGAGATATACCGATAATACATAATTGGTAACAAGTTTAGTACGAGCAATATAATCTTTATGCTGTCAGACTGCGAAAATCAATTTGTGATGTATAAATGTCCTCATTTGATTTTGTCCTAAACATCTAGAGAGCGTAAAGAAATGTTACTTACATGTACATTTACAAATCAATAGATTAGTCTTATCATACTCTCTTCCCAAACCGATACAATGTAGATGATTTTAATGGTTGTGCTATTGGGACTAATTAGGAACAGCGCTGAGATACCATTACTCATATCCTTATATCATTTCAGGTACCAAACTATATGCGTCTGAAAGTGCACACTGTTTCAGTTTTTCAAAGAAATCGAAACAATCCATGTGAAGAGAGTACTCGCCTTTCATCTGTCACAACTACACTGCAAACATTATATCTTGTGTTATTTTGGGATCTCTCCACAAAACAAAATGTTAATGATAGTGAATATACAGATGAGGGATTTAAGTGCAAAAATCATTTTGAAGCACTGAAAATCATATCATTTCAGCTTAGACTAAAGAGTTTAGATGATCAGTTGGTAAACGATGGACTAAAAATACATGTGTAAAAGATGAGAAAACATCACATTTTCCTTTGGCTTTGTCGATGGTTTAGGAATATTTTCTTATTTTCATTACTCCTCTTCTTCGTACTCACTGTTGTACCTCTTTGTAAAGACACTACAGAGGTACATTTCAACAAGGTGAACCGTTCTACCACAGTTCCGGCGTTTAGAAATAGTGCAATAAAATCGCCAAAGACAATAAAATATAGAATAAATAATATATATAAAAATTCACTTGGTAAACTAAAAGGACATGATGGAAACAACGGTTTATTGCTAACTCAGTTTGATATCAATTATCTCTCCAAAGTTCTATCGTTCCTGTCTCAGAGGTACACAGTTAACTCAGACAAACTGCCAAGAAAAAATATTAAAAACAATTGATGATATCTAATTGAGGTTTAATGTCAATAAGTACATTTCCATAGACTATTTAAAAACTTTTAACAAACTATCACGTTATTAGCTGTCTTGTTCTGCTGCACTGCATTTAGAGCCAAAGAGTTGTACCTGCTTCCTGGCTGGATGATCGTAGGGGCGACTGAATTTGGGATCTGGCATTTTCTCTTCCTTCTAAACATTTTTCCCGATGTCTTCCTTGATAATTCAATTGAGTTTTAATGTTGCAGATTCTGTCCCTTGGCCGAGACATACCGGAGTCTATGAAAGTGGTACATATTGCTTGCTTACTACTGTAAGACTAATAAAAGTGTAATGGCTGGTTCTCTTGTTATCAGTATAGGATTAACAGATGGAGAGGCCTTCGGCGGTGTACTTCAGTGTTGTAGTACTGTAAAGTCAGTTTCAGTTCCGTACTATCACAAGGAAACCTACAGGAATAAGCCTCCAACCACTAGCACTTGGCTCACTCTCATAAGGAAGCCGTGTTTTAGATAAGTATATCAGTTGATAGAACGTTAAACAATATAAAACCATAAATCTTAAATCATGTTTTTTTTTCTAGGCAGATAACAAAAAACAGCTATGGTTTCTGGGGAACGTTTTCATTTCTGTGCTGTTTTGGTCCCCGTTCAGGTATTCCCTATATTTATAATCTGACCCTCGTTTGAACGAATTTAGGCTTTGTATGCATGCCTGTGTTCTAATATATCTGTCAATATATTTCTGGAGTTACAGGAGAACCTGGTATATTGAAATCTTCGGGGAATGACAAAATACATCAAATTTACCGGTATAAACGTTTTCTAGCACCCAGGCCTATCATACGTTAACGATGAAACAAAGCATATATATACGTTCTTTTTGCAATTGCATAATATTTCATTATAAACAGCTTTGTAATCTATCTACATGGAACAATCAAAGTGTATTTCATAAAGCATTGATTCACTTTGCAAAGAAGCCATCGTAAAACACCTGTCACTCTCTTTTACATACAAAGTTAAACTAACCAAAACTTTGGTTCAAATAACATAGTTCATTGATTAATACTCATAATTTATGGTATATATTTTTACCTTGACATTGTACCAGAGAGACAGACGCATCAAAGTGTGACGACAGTATTCACGGGCGCCAGGGTGGCCTTCAAATTTAGCGATCTGAATACAGTTCAGTAGTACTGTCTAGTATTATCTTTCAAATAATGCGGGATTTCGAATTAATCGATTTCAAATTAAACGATGCGAAAAATACTAAGACAAAGAAGACATTTTGACAGGGATTATTTTTTTTATTTCAAACTAACAAGTTTTTCAATATAACCGAGTTCAAATTCAGTGGGTTCGCCTCTCTGTTGGTTGACTTGTTTTTGTTTTCATATAAAGCTGAATTGATGTATTAAAGACGTCTTGTCGTTAAATAATAGGAAATTTATTGGTTAATTTATACACGTAATTTCAGCACGTAAAATGACAGACAAACTCGTAACAAAGGGTTTCAAATGATTCAGGCTGATGAAAAAATAATAGGGACGTTTTAGTCAAAAGTCGTCAAAGTGATCCCATTTAGAAATATTCTACTTCTTTTGTACCTTTTTCTCAAATGAGAACGTGACATTACTTACTTGGAATGACCAAGCTTTACATAGCAGGTGTCGTCGATGAAGCAGAAGATGCTTACATAGGAACACGTCTTAATCATCTACTTCCATCGTATATACCCACCAGAATTGGAAATCAAAGACACAATAGACTTTTCAACATCAGCTGTTTATCTCGATTGTTTCCTACAACAAAATCAATATGGATAGCTCTCCACCAAACTTTATGATACGCGTGATGATTTCAATTTCAATTTCCCATTTTTTGATAGCATTATCACAGCATCTACAACCTAAGGTATTTACATGTCACAGTTGATTCAATATTCAAGGATCCGTGCACATTATCACGGTTTCAATGAAAGAAGTCGTCAGTTGACAGCCAAACTCGTAAGAGGAGTTTTAAAATATGCAGGTTGATGAAAATTATGGGGAAATTTAATTGTCGCCATAGTAATCTCATTGAGAAATATTCTATTTCTTTGTGTGATATGAAACTGGACGTATATGTTGTGAAACTCCCAAAAAGTTAACTGGAAAAGGTTAAAAATTAATGTTGAAGCAAAATGACAGATATTCCTTAGTGTCATTAAAAATTGCTGGGAGTTAAGGGGTTAATGTAAGAAAGGGGCTCTTAAAACTTCTGTAAATGAAAAAAAAACGTGTTCTTTCAATCTGAAGTGTGGATGAGAATATTTTCCAAGATACTTCCAGTGATGAAGTATCACCATTTTGACGGCTATCGTGGTCCAAAATGACCATTTCTTTTAATCGCTACCGCTAAAGTGTATTACCACTATACCTCATTGTTATTAGAGAACTTTGGTAAACGTGGCGGACCATATCATTGACATGTGGCACTATATATATATATTATATCCTTTGTAGAAATTTAATTGAAACGCATTGAACAACATATAATTTATATTTATGGTGAAAATCAAAAGTTGAGAAAACACAGGAATTCGACACTTTACTAGTCTTGGCAAAGGCGGGATATTATAGAGGTTTTATTAAAAATGTTTTAATGGTAATTACTGAAGTACACAGTGGCTGATCATGAGTAAACAAAGACAGTACGAGTTCATGTAAACAACTGGTCCTATCCTCACATCCGCCACTTACATCTTGAATTTCGAAGTGATGGATTTTACATATAAATATTCCAGAGTGAATATGCCTAATCGAGTTCATGAATTTCATCATTGCTTTACCTAAGATATGCCTAGGTGATCGGTTTCCACACAGGGAAGTTTGACTGGAGATTTTCTGGTTTCACTGTATTGTCGTCACGTTCGAAACCATCCATTACATACGACATTTTGATTTGACGGCACAAAGTTAAAGTGACAATTTTGCGCCAAAAATTTCCAAGCATATTTTTCTTCATTTATTTATTCCCGCCATTTTTAGTTGAATTATATGCGTCATTTATTTGTTTATAATAAAAAACTTTCACTAGTACGCCTTGGCAAAGTTATTGTGTATAAAATTATATTTTTACTAAAATATTACCAATTCATTGGATTATGGAGGTCTTCGGATTAACGGACATTCGGACTAACGGGCCACAGGTATGTAAGGGTGTCATGTTGCTAACAGCTACACCAGAAATGCCATGGTGAATGTTAAATAGGATATGAATTTGTAATTTGAATGACGATTGCCATAAAACGAATATCTAAAGATAGAATAGATTTTTTAAACACAAGTAGAAGATTTACGTGTGGAGTTTCGGTGGCAACAGTGAACATTGTCACCTGTATCACACAAAAGAAACCAGTGTAAAGCGTATAAGCAATGATTTATAGAGTGTACGAGATGGTGCGGAATCGACAGAAGTTTTCGGTTATATCTTGTGTATTTTAAGGCATTGATGGTAAAAAGATCATAGAAAAACGTATACGAAATGGTAACTAATAGTAGGCGATTCCACAAAGATTTGTTTAGCGCCGAAGGGTCGATTCCGTACTGTCTCTACACACTAACGTCTATTGAAATGAACAACTGGAAGGAAAATCCGACTTTTTAAAGAAAGTTGAACGACTGGGCATTTAGGGAGATACCTCTCCGTTGCGATATAAAAGAAGTTGCTGGTAGCGCGCACGCGATCCGGTATTGTTGAGCTATACAAGACTTAACCACAAATCTACCAAAAGTCAAAATATCGAAGTTACAATGGAATTTCTAGATTTTTTTTACATCTCATAAAATAGTAGCCACTGAAATATCTCGTTCTGATGATGTACGCATCATATGGTCCCTACTAACAGCCGAAATCTTTGTCAATTGATCGGATTTAAAGCTTTGTCTTACTGAATACACAGCTAGCCACTGAAATATCTCGTTCTGATGATGTACGTATCATATGGTCCCTACTAACAGCCGAAATCTTTGTCAATTGATCGGATTTAAAGCTTTGTCTTACTGAATACACAGCTAGCCACTGAAATATCTCGTTCTGATGATGTACGTATCATATGGTCCCTACTAACAGCCGAAATCTTTGTCAATTGATCGGATTTAAAGCTTTGTCTTACTGAATACACAGCTAGCCACTGAAATATCTCGCTCTGATGATGTACGTATCATATGGTCCCTACTAACAGCCGAAATCTTTGTCAATTGATCGGATTTAAAGCTTTGTCTTACTGAATACACAGCTAGCCACTGAAATATCTCGCTCTGATGATGTACCTATCATATTGTCCCTACTAACAGCCGAAAGCTTTGTCTTACTGAATACACAGGTTGCCATTGAAATATCTCGCTCTGATGATGTACCTATCATATTGTCCCATGTACCTATCATATTGTCTCTACTGCCAGCCCAAAGTTTTGTCAATTGATCAGATTTAAAGCTTTGTCTTACTGAATACACAGGTACAAGTTTAGAAATGACATCCAAATTAAAATACTTTGCCAGGGGCATTTAAAACAACAAATATCACTGTAACAAGTAGTTTTATTGTTTCCAATACTTGAAGGAAATTGTGTATAGTAAATTACATTTACATTGAATAAAAGCACTATACCATTATAATGAACTGTTATGTCAAACTTTAATTGGAAATAAATAATAAATAATTGACATAACAGAATAACACTCAAACTCGGACACAAAACATAAACACATACTCCTCACAAACTAAATGGGCAAATATTGCTGTACCAAACATCAGACTCACTCTTATGTACAATTCATAAACTGCTATGTAAGAGTTGTTTTTGATCAGAATTTACCCTCTTGAAAAAATATTCCAAAGGACAGTTTATACAAGGAAATCCTTGAAGTACAAAATACATAATGATGATAAATTGAATGATTTTCAGTTCATGCAAAAATGTTTCTTTTAGTTCGTTTTCTACAAGACTCACAAAAACTATGTCTCAGTAAGAATTTTAGATAAAATAAGACTTACAAGACTAGATATTAATGTTTTGTGATTGATAATTGCTTATAAGTCGGTAATGTCAAATGCTGAAATAATTTTGCCGCTAAATATGACAAAAACTAATAAATTTTGATATTGTTTTTTTCTGAAGTTTTACAATGTTGAACATTTAACAGTTGGCCATCCACTACTTCAAATGTTGAAGAATTCAATAGAATTAATCAGTTTTAAAAGGTCTGTTTTGTTAGTTCATTAAGGTTGTGTTGTGAACTAAGTATGTGTGATTTTGAAAACAGTTAACTGTAACTTTGTGTATGAAATGAAACTGTTTCATCTCAACTGTGATAAATATATTCACAAAATCAGTCATTTACACACTACTAAAATGTATATGTTCTTGTGAACACAATATTATAGCCCTTAGAAATCAAGAGAAAATCTACACAATAAACGTAAAACACAAGAGATATTACAACAAATGAAATGGTTTATTGTATTAGGACCAGTGCAGGACTTACTTATAGCATACTTAGCAAGAGAGATATTAGGCCAATTCAGTATTAAAATCAAACCATTTCTTTTCATATACTTTTCATTCAAGACTGTTATACATAATGATCTGTCCACTGTTATTCTTAAATCTACTTAATGGAGTATGTATAGTTTACACTTCTTATGATTATGTCGTGAAAATACCTTCTCAGAAAGCAGAAATAAAATTTGGAGTAAATTCTAAAATGTTATGAAACACTGAAATTTAAACAAAATAGACTATCTTAAGTTAAGTATTTTACCCCGATCCAAACTATTGTTATCAATTTCTTTTTATCCAGCACAGCATCATAAAATGAATTAATTTATCATTAGAGAAAATTTTTGATCCCATACAAATGTTTGATATACTCAAGCATTCACTCTCTCATTCCATATACAGCAATGTGCACTTTTACCCCGTTAATAAAAAGGTCTGCACACACTCTGATCCAATGATATCCTAAAAGTACATCCTTTCCAAAATATTTTCACAATACATCCTGTTAAAGCTGTCAGGACATATTTGTACAATAAAATACAATATTTACTCTCCTTGGTATGATACAAATTCTACATGTGGTCTCTACAATCTACAACAAAAATCCAATGACATAAAACAAAGCATTGAATGCTCTACTGGAACTAAAAGCCTTGACAAGATTTGCACATTCACTCGATTATCACAAGGAATTCTCTATGTGGTGACCAGCATACTAAAGCATTCCTTTGACGAGAGGATATGCACCTCAACCACGCCAAGAGCAGAGTGATCACTCAGTTGACTATCAAACTCTCTTACAACATCTAAACTCAACAAAAACCTACATGAAATCATATTGTGGAATATTCACTATCACAAAATAATATTTTGTCACAATGAAGTTATGAAAATATTCTGAAGGTAGAAGAGAATAAAAACATAATGCTTGCTGTTAATTAGTGTTAAAAAGATAGTTATGACATATAACTGTGAAGTTTTGACAAAAATCCAATTCAAGTCACTAAAGTTGATTTGATACACCAATACCAATGTTATAAATTAAACAATGCTTGCAGGCCACTACCAAACATCTCCATCCCTCTGCCAAACCAACAGCTGGGTCTACTACAACAATGAAGGAACAGACAGGAAATAGGAACAGATTCTTGTTCACTACAGAGATTTAGCTTTCTGCAAACAGTTCACCAGTACAACATATCTGCCCACATTCTCTTTAACAAAAAGCACCTTATTTTGTACAAGAGGCAGTGGACCTGTCACCATAATATGTATTTAGTCAGCTAGTGTCATATAAAAACAATACTTAAAATCAGAAACCTCCCAGAATTATCTTATACAACCAAAATACAAAAAAATAATATTACTGAAAACGCTTTACTTACATACAATGAAACTGCTTCTGAAAGGACCTGCTGGTAATGGTAACTTTGGCACTAAGTTACAGTTAGTATATCTTTTATCTCTCTGTTTGTTGTTCCTGTATAAAATGATTTAACTACATTCAGAACTCTACTGTACTTCAAATATCACATTTCACAAGTATATTACACCAAAGATACAAGTTTACATCATGTTAATTAAGTTACATATAAAGAGTTTTAGAAAAGAAACACACTTTCCATATAAAATATCTAATTTTCATGTGAAATAATTTCCATCAATTGAAGCAAGAACATGCAATATACATGAACCAGTGATAGTTTCAGAATCTTTGAAAAATCTATAGTAAATCCATATAAATGTGGGATCAGTTATTTTAAGGTAAGGCTAATGGCCAAAATAGGTGGGAATAATTAGTCTGATGATTAACTCAGAACTACTATAAACACTGTTGTCCAATCACCTTTTACAGCCCTCAATTCACCGAAATCACACACTACATGTAATATGAGAAGTACTTCAAAATAAAGAGAGGATTTTGAAGGGAGTAAGTTACAGAACCTACTAACAGTTATTGGTCAAATATTCTTGTAAAAGATACTGTAATCTTTTATTATGTCTGAAACAAGTCAAGTGCAGCACATCTTATCTCTACTGTCAATTCACCATATTACACACACAACTAAATCTTTATAAAGCCCTTCTTTCTATATCGTTGCAAAGAACCTCAATTATTTTTATGAACATTCAGACAGGAAACAACATCATCAAACCAAAAATGAAATGAAATATAGGATGATAGAGTGATCAGCTTTAGCCACTGATTAAATAAGATTTTTCTTACACCTGGCATTTGAATAGTTTACAATAATTTTGAGACAAACAGTTCTATCATGCATAGTTCATACACTAAACGTGAACCATTCTTAAAATTGGTGGTAATATTTAACAACTACATTAAAAAGATAGGCGACATTTAGCAAATGAAGCACAAATCTTTTTATCATATCACCATTTTGAGATTCAATGCAAGTAATGTCAACTAGACGCACATGTCATGGTTACACAAAGCTTTACAGGTTGAGGAATAAAAACCTTTACAGATTGACCATAGAAGAAGCGATGAAGAATTCTTCCTTATTCATAATTAAAAAAATATTAAAATACTTCCGAGCTTTACAATGCTAAAAACAGAGAATCTGATCATGTTGCCAGTTGATATGGATATTCAATAAAAATCCCAAACAAAGAGTTTGTTATGACATCAACGTCCAATTTCATTTTTATACCAAGAAAAAATACCAAAAATTCTTTCATTTAAACAAACTGTCAAATTCAGGAATCTTCACTATGAAAAGGCAACATACCTTATATGATGACAAATGTTTAATTTTTTCACATTTTTTTATTAAAAATTTCCAATCATTTTTATAGTAAAAATAACAATCTTGAGATATGAAAGTACCTAAAATGCGTGAATATATCCCTGATGTGATATTCGGTACAATTCCATCAAAATTCATAAGAGAGATAGGTTCAGTTAGCATTTCTACTTGGTATACATCATTGGTTCATATGTAAAGTTTTCATGGTGCCTTAATACATCTGTCATACTGACATGCCATCTAACTGAAACAAATACTTGCTGTAATACTTATCATTTTAACACATATACCAGCTTGCAAACAATATCTTGACAGCAACAATAGAATGTTACATAAATGTGATAACACTGCTATCCTGCAACTTTTAGGAAATGTCCACCAAAATAACCAGCCATATAGTAACTGTTTTTGAATTATTTTGAAGTATTCAATATTAACATTATTGAAGGAAAAATGATATTGTGATAGAAAAAAAAAAAAAAAGATATGCAATAATATGATATATTATGATTTACTGTTAATTGGTTCCATACAACCAACTCTGATGGTGTCACTAAATGACTGCTTCCCATCCCACCCATATATGAAGTAATTTGGAATAATCTCAAATTGAGCATTGTAGCATGTGTCCAGAATGACAATGTTTCCACATGTATCATACATGAAATTAGCGAGTCACCATATACAGTAACACTACAACTTCTTACTACTTATGCAGAGAACCAAACAGTTAATGTACAACCACACCAAGACACATCTCTACAAATATACACCACACTCTGTCATTTAATCATATTATTCAAGGTACTTGGTAGCATTTGCATACATTATAGTCATACATCAACCAATAGTCAGTAAAGCCTATTGGCATCATGCGTTTTAAAAACATTGTTACCTTCTCTTTCAAAATCAACAATACCTTCATACAAGCTGACTTTAACTTTTGTGTACTGCTGAAATGGACATTCACAGACAAATACACTTTTTATTATCTAACTTGCCCTTTGACCCGCAGTTCTTTAAAATGAGTTACAAAATTAAGCACTAATCCCCACTTGGACAATCTGCGAATTGTCTCCTGAATCTATGCCCACAAATGATCAATGAATCTGGCTTAGTAGAGTGCTGTCCTAGCCATACACAACGTCAATCAACAGAGATCACGGCTGGGAAATAAAGTCATGTTGCAACGCAAGTTACCTAGCCATTTGAATAAGGCAATTACAGCCAGCAAACAAACAACAATTAAAAGGGAATACATTTCAAATGAAAATAAGTTAGGTCATCACACCTAAACAAAATCATTGAAGCACTGAAATGTAACCCAAGGTCATCAGTACATCACTTATGTGATGCTTTTGGACAAAAAATCCATTTCCATGGAATTTCTTTTTGAAGCAGATCTATGTTGTGCTCAGAGTTGCTTGTAAATATGTCTGGTTTCAAACCATGGAGGAATCACTTGTTGAAATTGTACGAACGTGCAGGAGATTGTGATGAGCTTGTTCCTTCTGGCACTGGCACATTTAAGAAGTCCCAAATTAGGATGGTGTCATCATGTGAACTACTTACAATTTGAAATTCATCAAATTGTAGACGGAATACGCGACCAGAATGTTCCTGCAGAAAACACAAAGAAACAGCAAGATATTTGAAATTGTCAATGAAGTACATCCTTTTTACCTTTTAAAGACCCTTTCTTGTATCACCTTTGTACAATTTATATGTAATTGTCATGCAAACAGGCACTTGGATTTAATAGTTTTTTATGCCTGAACTAAAATGTATTAAAATTCTACATGAAAACTTAAAATTTAGGACAGAATTTCTTAATCTACATCACAGCAAAGTTCTTCGACACTCTCTACAAAAACTGACAACTATGTACATTCTTACTATTTATACCAAAGTCAAATGTTATGTACAAGTAATTAAAAAGTACATCAATGAAATAAGTTCATCAAAATTTCTATAAGATTTTCTCAAACAAGATGAGATTCTGCTCCAAATTCTGGTGATCCATTGTGTGGATCAAATTATACCTATGTTCTTTGAACATAAGACCAACATAAATATTAGTTCAGGAGATATAAGATAATTACAGTACCATTTACAAGATTCAACAGTTGGTTCTGCTAACATAAATCTCAAATCCGAGAAACACATAAGGTACTCACCACTAAAGTACGGAGACAGAGAGTTCCTGCAGGGGCACGAGGGTCCAATGCTGCTGCTAGGTCCCACACTTTGATTTTTCTGCATAATAAATAACATAATTAATATAAAACCATATCAGTTTATCAAAACTCTAGATAAACCAATCAAAATTTATTCCTGTATTTATCCTGAAGTAAGCCCAGGGGCTACAATATAACCTCTGTTCTTTTGGTGAGCTTTTGGATAATTACCATAAAAACCCACATCATGTGCCTGGTTTTTATTTTTAGAAAACACTTAAATGTTCAACTGTTAAGAAAAAAGAAAAAGACAGGTTTAATTTTTTTCTTCTTTATATTGGATATCATGACGAAAAAGCCATGAGCACATGTTCGATTTCATGTGTATTGGCAGAAGTTAGCATTGACATATTAGTATGCATTACTTATTAAAATCAATTTCATTGAAGTTTATGAAGCATATCTATAAATATACTTATCTATTATTCATCATAATAAATAGGGATAGTACTGGTGCGATTATCTTACCAAAACGTGTAGTGAAATACTGTTCCTCTTTTGACAATATACATATGAATGCTTACAGTACATTCCACGCTGCGTACACCAATTACTTGCTTGGGGCCTCAATTTACGTCAGTTGGCTTGCACACAATGTGACAGCAAGACGAGTAAAAAATATTGACTCACAGAGATCGTAATTACCTGGTTTTGTCATTAATAGGTAGGTAATTCCTTAATTCTTGTGTCTGTGATTTAGACACTGAACACAGCTGATAAGAAAGAGTGAGAAGTCAAGTGTTTGTGTATGTAAAAGAAATTAATCTAGGTTAATTGGATAGGTCAGTATATAGCGTAATAGGTTTGATGTCAATCATAAAGTTGTAATACCAAATTTCATTTCAATAACTCGAAGCATAAAAGGAAAACTGCGCAAAGCAAAGAAAGCTGTGAATCGAACCTTATCTGTAATGTTCGACCATGAAGCCATTTCTCATATTTCATTTGAAAAACTCTAAGCATAATCAAGAAAAGTACAAAAAAAACATATTCTCAAAGAATTTTCCAAGAGGCATAACTCTGCCAAGAAGGGTTACAGACAGCCAGGAATCGAACTTAATCGGTACCTTTCCAACAAGAAGCCATATACCAAATTTCATTTCTATAACTCAAAGGATAACCCAAAACAGTCCAGAAAACAATATTCCCAGGAAATGTTCTATGTTGAAAGGGGCATAACTCTACCAAGAAGAGTTACAGACAGCCAGGAATTGAACTTAATCTGTACCTTTCCAACAAGGAGCCATATACCAAATTTCATTTCACTAACTCAGAGCATAAATGAAAAAGTCAGGAAATCTTTCGTACGGACGTCGTACAAAGTGATCAATGAGTGTCCGCCAGCTCTGCAGACAACACAAAAAAGGTATTGCTGTAGCTATCCAATGCCAACATCGCTGATATTGATCCTATCTGTGGCATTTAGCTGCAAGCGTCTACTGAAGGAGAAATAACCTATGGGAGTTTAGGATGTCATGGCTAACTGAAAACACATTTTGAATGTGAAAGTATGCAAAGTTAACTGTGACATTCAGGTTTTATGGCAATCTGCTTTCTCTATCCTAAAATATTTCCAAGTGTAAATTTAAAGCAAAATAGGACACAAGGCATGGGAAACAGGCATTACCAAAATACAGTTGAGAATGAAAATAGAGACATGTTATTTTTTTGTCTAGATTGGTGTCTACCATGTTGGCGGTGAGTAACAGTTACAATGGGTTTGCAAACCTATGATCAGCAGCACACCCATGCATTTGTGAGACTTGCAATGCTTACCCATCATAGGCACCACTGACAATGTGTTTATTGTCAAAGCGAATACATCGCACTAACTCTTCGTGCCCCTCCAAGACTCGCAGACAAGCACCACATTCAATGTCCCAAAGTCTGCAACAAAGCATTATCACATCTGAAAGGAACTTTCAATAGCTTTCTAATGAGAAGCACATAAAACAAAAATATGTCATTACTCTGGATTTAACAGCAATCAAATGTGTACTTCAAAGAAACATTTTCAGGTGTATTTTTAGCAGCTACGAATACAAGATAAAGATATATGGAAAACTTGTAAGCACAACTCATTGCATTCTCTTTCTTTGATAATGACTTGAAATATGTTATTACACATTGCGGATGTAAAATAATTTTCAAAGTAACTTAAATTTATACAATACTTCAAAGCAATACTTGATTTCAATTCAAACATTGGGGAAAATAAAACCAAACAAGAAAATTTCTGAATAAAATTGATAAACATGTCATATTTAACTGATAATCAAATGTATACAGATCTCAAACGAGATGAAAGACAAGTTCTCTCACTACTTACCTTATGGTATTATCAGAACTACCACTCACTACAAGTCGGTCTCTGTACTGGAGACAAGCTATTCCTCTTTTGTGACCATTGAGTGTCCTTACAAATTCACAGGACAGTGTGCTCCAAACCTTCAAAAATATTTACATCAAATTAGGAGAAATAAAAATAACATTGAAACAAATATTCAACATCTATTATAATAGTAAATTTCATTATTTTGCTAATATTCATTCATTGTGATAAAACCTCCTCAACATTTTCCCTCTCTATCCCCCTTTTTGTTACCTCCAAACTCTTCTCAAGTAGACCTAGCATATCACTCCCCCTTTAAACATCAATATTTATTTGAGGGTATTATAAAAGGGACATAACTCTTGACAAATTTCATCTGGTTTCTTCATCATATGAATTTATAAACTTTTTGTCACTAATTCTTCTAGTTCAAATGTTATAAGACCAACCTGCTCTGGGAAAATTACACAGTGACATTACAAATTGTTTACAGAGTTTGATATTTTCCTAAGTGATACATATCATATACATACTTTTATGGTTCTATCTCCAGAAGCTGATACGATGTATTTTTCATCAAAGTCAACCACATTAACAGCAGCGCGGTGACCAACAAGAACTCTACGTAGGTTGATTTCTGTTGGTGATTGCATGTCCCATACAGCAATTGATCTATCCTATAAACCAATGGAGATTATTTGAGATGTGATTGGTAAGTTAGAGAATTCATCTTGTGTGCATAGTTTCCACACCTGATAGCCTTTCTTTGAACAACTGATGTAAATTTGTGATTACCACTTTTATTAATGTTGTTACTGAAGAATAATAAAAACAAACACAAACCAAAAAAACAAACAAAAACGATTTTAGGTAATTATCAGGTCCTCAATCTTACCTTAGAACAGGTGACCATAATGCCATCACAGAAGCGAAGATGAAGAACAGCTTCACAGTGGTGAATCAAAGTGTTCAACATCTCTCCTGTCCGGACATCCCACACCCTGTAATTCAAGAATTGATCCCGTGATATCAGAATCCCAAACTCATTTCAGTAATTGTTATAATATTTCTATATTGTCATGCTGTGACTTCATTCAAGCAAACAAGCTACAGAAAACTGGTGTGATATTACACTACAAAAGTAAATGACTTGTGCTTTTGAAAATCATAATCTTCATGAGACATATATGGCTGATCTGTATACATGAGAAAATATGTGATTTAATATCAGTACTAATTTTTTTAAATAGTTAAACATTCCTTCACTTCTGTAGATTTCTCCATGAGATCATCTGACCAATCTAGTATTACATCACAGATAATTTGCTTCCTTTATTTACATTATTTCTTTTACATAACTGTCAATTGAAAAACAACATTAATCTGACATTATTTTACAGAAAAAAAACGGCAAAAATTAAACTACTCAAAATGGATGGCCATTTTTGGCAATTTCAAAAGAGAAAGTTAAAAATGAAAAGTTTATGCACAGCACATTGTAACACACTGGCATTAGGTTACTTCTAAATTAATGATCTATATGCATGAATGTACTACAGAATGATATTCACTGCATGTTGATGTTCATTCTCCCTCTACTATTGGTACCAAACTCCTAAATTTTTACTTTTATTTTTGCAATGAGCCTACTCATAATAAATGGGTTAATTCCCTGTGTACAGCATCCTGCTATGCTAGAAGTCAACTCCTTCTGAGACTTTCAGTGGAAATCGCACAATATTAAAATACTTACAGCTAATATAGTCCTGCACATATCTCTACCTTAAAAAGAACTAACTAAGCAACAGGTGATAATGATTTTACGCGAAAAAGCAACTATTATCTAGATCTAATGAACAATGGAGATAAGTTCACCATTTTTGACACTAACGTCCTTAGTTCTTTATATATATTGGCTGGTAAGAATATAACTAAATTAAAACAGTGGAGACAACAGCTTTATAGATGTTGTTCTTACCTGACAGTGGAGTCACTGGACCCAGAGATGATGATATTGTCATCATACTGTAGACACAGCACAGAGCCTGTGTGACCAGTCAACACCTGGATACATTCCAGGGATGTTCTGTTCCAGATCTGTGAATAAAACACATTAATTTACTTACTGCGCCATTGTTGGATTTGATAATAATATAAACATTGACTAGTTAAAATTTTCATTTCAGTAATATTTTCTTTGTAAAAGTGCCATTTCAAGGCCTGATAAAATGTTTTGTTATCAATTCTTCTTCTATCATTCTGTAGTACATTAGATATAGCTATCAATTGGAATAAGATCTCTATGACTGTTATGTTTTATCTGATCACTGGAAATTGATAAGGAAAATTAAAATTCAAAACAGAAAAAAGGAAACAAAACAGGACTTTGAACCCTTCATTCACAATTGAGAATGGACTCCTAACATGATCATTAAAATGTTATAAATTTAGGATTCAAATACATTTCCTAAAATATCTCTATTTGATCTATACAGCAATGACTTTTACATACCTTAATTGTGTTGTCCCTGAGGCCACTAATGATCCTGGTCTCATCATACTGTAAACAGTACACACCCTTGCTCGTCTCACTGCGACAGTGTATTCGCTGTAAGGTGTGTCGGCCTGTCCGCCAGTTGTTCTCTATTTTCTGTTTTAAGACATAAAGGAGAAAATAATAAACATCAAACTGAAAACATGATTCATATACTGATAAGTAACTGAAAGGACATGACAATAAGTCAGACGTTGATAAGATATCAAACTCAAGTCTACAACATGTGTTCCCTAGTGATGACGTGCTGACTGGATATAATCTGTTATCGATCAACTACAAACTGCTACAAAGGACACTTTTAAATTCTCTTTTTTTTCCTCAGAACAGTATTACATTAGAATTTCCTGCCATTAGCAGCAGTGTAGCCCTTGAAGCTCTCACACAAAAACACCCCTCTTCCCTCTTAACAAAAAAACAAAAACAAAATTTTTAAGACTCACATCAATGTCCTGAATGATGTTTGGGTATAAGTTTCTGTAAAATTTATGATCTTTTTGGGACTCTCCTGGCTTGGGTTTGAACAGAAAATGAATCCTGCAAAAAAGAAACTCTGGATTACTTCAAAACAGTCAATATATCATAAAGTAAACCAGTTTGTATAATGAATTCCAATAAGCATTTTAATAGCATTTATTTTGGGCAGATCAACCTATTGAGAGAATTATTTGTATTGTGTATAATTTGCCAGACCACTTGCTTCTCAATATTTGACCTAAATAAGGAAGTATTATTTCATCAACAAAACAGGCATACTTAAACTGAGAAGACAACACATGCCTATCATCAAAGTTTTTAACATACCATCTCCATTTTTCTGTGTGTCCTTGGTATAAGGGATCTATTTTGTCTCATAAACAAAACAAGCAAACCTTAACTAAGACATCAACACATGCCTATCATCAAAATGTTTAACATACCATCCCCGTCTTTCTGCAAGCCCTTGCCATAAGGGATCTGTGCGCACCATTCTTTCTATCAATTTCTTCCACAGCATTCCTTCAGAGATCACACGGTACCATTCCTTGCACACTAACTCTGCTGAACATAATGATTTGGCATCCAGGAAGGATAGGATGGACTCTGCTACATGATCTAAACCTTTTGCTGTAAATTTGAAAGCAAACAGTTAAGAAAAGGATGTTAAATATATAAGAAGTGTAATACTGAATCTTTATTACAATACCTTACATCTTTCCAGAAATTGCAAAATGAACAAAAATTGTAGTTGCACTCCTAGGTTTAGAAAATATGCATCTTAAAACTCAAAGTTGTAAAGTTTGTAAGGAAAATTTAATATTCTAAATAATGAAACTGAGATGCACTTCCATTATTGGTACTACATAACCAATGTATAAACATCATAAAAATGGATAATTTTGGATTATCTGGACAAAGTAAAGAAAATGGGATTTCTATTATTAGGAATCTGGATCAGTGTAAAAGTTCTATACAGTTGGGCTATAAATGAGTACACTGCACAGATGATTGCACAACCTCTCTACTGTGTTATGAGGAGTAGCATCATTGATCATGTATGAATATCCTTAAACTTACAATACCCGACTCTTCCTATGATTACAAAGGGGAATGTCTTAAAAAATGCATAACTTTGTCTACATAAGCATTATTACTCAACACTGTTGCCATCTTTCATGAATACGGATGTTATAATCCTATATTTAATGTCATTACCCTTCAAGATGATGCATCTCAGATCAACTTCATCAATGTATATATCTTAAAAAAAATCATCATTACCTGGCAGTGCTGAAATGAAATCTCTTTGCAACATTGGCTTTAAAAATGTATTAATCTGTCCATGTTGGTAATGACACATCCGAGATAATAAATGTTCAACAAATACAACTTGGTCATTTTCAGTCCAGCCGTCAAAACACTTTATACATATATCACGATCCTGATTATACTGAGGTGATGGTTCTGGTGTGCGTGGCGTTATTGATGTGATCATAGCTGCAGTCTCCACCTGAAATTTTAGAGGAATAAACATAGCACATAATTGTATATCATGTAAAAGATCAAACATATAGCCAATAGTTTCTACTGCTAATCGAGTATTTCTTAATTCCATGCATATATCAAAACTTGCAAACCACACTCAAACTGTCATATCCTATTTTCATGTGTAGATCTAAAATTTCTTTTTGTTTCATTGACAAAAACTGGCCAAAGCAGTAATATCATAGACTTCAGTTATATTTTTTTCAAAGTTGACACCAAATAGGTCACAAACATAACTAAATTAATGAAAAGCAAATAACTGTAAAACATGTACCATCCATGTGATTTTACTGATGAAAACTATTGCCTATATGAGGGATTTATTAATTATGTCTTCAAATGCAGGGTCAATTCAAATAGAAACTAAATGACCCCATAACCGATGCAAAATTGCAAATTTTTACACAAAAGGTTGTTTTGCTTACTGTAAAAAACACAAACTTTATCACCTCCATTGTTTATCAACTGCTAAAAATAGAACACAGGTATATCCATGCTCACCAATGGCATTTGTTTTAAATGTCACTATCTATACATTATATTCAATTGAGCTATATCAACTATATAAATTGTCATTTCAACACATAGCTAACAGAAATGAAAATTTCCTAGCAATCATATACATTGTCTGGGTTGTACCCAATGTGTCCATGATGGTATGAATGAAATAAACCAATAACATTCATAACAGTCTTCGTGAAAAATGGATGGAACCAATTTGTGTTCACGAATATATCACTATCGACACAAATGTTCAAATATTTCACTGTGAAATTTCCGTATCCCTTTCTACAAGTTTTACAAATACAAATGGCAAATGCAATGGTATATAATGTTAGATACATTGGTCCTGTTTAGCTCAGCTTGTATTTATTGTGTATTGAGTAAAAATGTTCATTACAAACAGAAAAAAATGTGAAAGTACTTGTCGTAGCATTTATCTACAAGTGTACCGATATTCTCCATATATTTCTGTTGTTGAGGAAATAAAAAAGGATTTGTGAATCTGGCTATTTGTTATTCTGGATTTCTAACAAATGAATGATCAAGACGAATATCAATTTATACCACTACCAAATCTATATTGTCTCTTAAAATTCATATTTTACAAAAGCATGTTTGGTTTAACTAAAGTGAGTCATTATGTACTTCATTTCCCAATGTTTTGTTCTGTCCTGAAGTTGTCAATCAAGTAAGATGGCGTCGCAAATGGTCCTTGAAACCTGACACAATTTTAACAAAATAAGACGAATAAGTAAAATATATACCCTTCTTTGATCCACCCTCTCATCTGAGGAAGTACATGTCTCCATCTTCATCTCAAGAGAAGACATGTTTTATCGAGACGGAGACCAAAACAATGAAACAATTGTGTATCATCCACCCAAGAGATTTTTCTCTTCGTGACGTCACAGCCGGAAGTGGTTTTGTTCGATGTACAATACACACCCAAATAATACTGGAAATATTGAACATAACACATATAGAAAATTTGAAAATTATTTTATTGATATTTTGCTGATGGTATATTTTCCAAATACAACTCTTTTTAAATAATTTCTTTTCACCTGTGACGCCTTCAGTCAAAATAAACAACAAACAGGTATGACGGACATGAAATCCGGATTGCTTCCCGGGGTTTTATGACATGACGCTACACGAATGGAGCAATTTCTTTTAAATATTGAAGCATGGATATGATAAATTGGTATCGTCAACTTTAAAATCAAGACTGGATGTGTCCTGCTGTTGAGTAGCTTTCCTCGTGTTGTTATTAAGGACTCTTTTCTGTTATATCAGTACATATTTTAATATTCCCTTGCCATTTCAAATAGATACTGAAATTGGGGAAGAGAGATTTTTAAAAATTATTATTAGTATACTTAAGTTTGAAGTGCTGATAGAGTTGGATGTGTTGGGAAATTACGTTTTAATAGAAAAAGGTTGCATGAATATCAAGGTGAAATTAAAAAGAAATAAGGAAATGAAACAAATAAATAAAACTTAAAGAGATAGGTGTTAGTTGATGGACTGTCCTGAAACTTGTAGAAATCTCAACAATTTCAGTTATATCTTTCTTAATGTAACTCAGCTTAAGTATATCTCAATTTATTTGTACTCGAAATAGTAATTATGTTTCTTATACGTACTCTTGAAAAATACAGGATTATATCACATGCAGCTTATTTCAACGGGATAACATTGGTTACGTCCCCTTAGCGCTTATCGAGTCGAAGGCACGAGAGCCAGCAAGTAAAATGGGACCAGACCAGAGTGAATTTATCCAAATTAGTAGGTAGCGTTTTACTCGGAGACCCGTACAGCCATAGTTATTTAGGTTTGTTTTGTAGCCTACATAGAGGTTACACACTTAACATGTCGGTTTTATTTTGAATTCGAATCCATGATAACATAACTATCTATGTTTATAATCACAAACAAGATATAACTACCTTCAATGATTATTTTACAATTCAGGTCAACAGTATCTATTGGATAAAAACATAACAATTTATTGTGTGAGTGCATATGGTCCTTTGTGATTTCACACATTACTATTGTCAATATACGAAGAAACCATCTGATTTGGTCAGCGGCGTATGAGAAAGACACTCCTGGATTTGGTGAAACAAATAAAACCATGAGAAGATCTAAAATTTGAAGCAATTAAAATTTGAAGATTAACAGCTGAAAACTCTTAATCAAGGATTCGGATCGGAAGGGATCTACAGCATCTACCGTTAGCTATATCTTAAAGTAACCCATTAAAATAAGGAAAAGGGCAATGATTAGACACATTTTAACCACAGCATTATTAAAAAGACCCTTTTACTGTGAACAAGCTTGTATCCATTTCAAATACATAGTACAGAGCGAATCTAGAATTAATTGAACTCGTACATTTCATTTCTCATTAAGATTTGTGACTTAATTTATAAATAGCAGTTAATAAGTCCATTTTTTTCCATTTGCTTGGTTGTTACAACATCAAACCATGGTCTTAATTTTCAAGCAACAAATGTGTGGTTTTTTTTTGCAAGTCCAATGTAATGATATGAAATGTACTGAATGCGATACTAGCGCACCAACATCAATAAATATTCTTTTAAGCAAGTCTTGAATATCAACTATGTCAGGTAAATTCAGAAACGTATATTAGAGGAATATGAGGCTATTTTCCTATTTGTTTCAAACGCTAGAAAATACATGTTTGTATCTATTTTGATATCTGATTGTTATGATTGTCTCGAAACGTGCTAATTACATCGTTTGAATTTATATTTTTTGTACGATAATTGTATTATGGAATATGTTGTATTAAAGTACTGTATCAATTAGAGTTAATTAGCGTTGCCGTGTTTGATTACCATTTTTCTCTTAAATTTCCTAATTATTTTTTAAAGACAAACAATATAGTAGAAATCTCAGTTTTTCGAATTTATCTCGTTGATTTTTGGACAGATACTTTCTGTTTACTTTAGATTTTTTCAAAACAAAAAGGGTGTCTGAGCTTTCCAAAACAAAAAGGGTGTCTGAGCTATCCAAAACAAAAAGGGTGTCTGAGCTATCCAAAACAAAAAGGGTGTCTGAGCTTTCCAAAACAAAAAGGGTGTCTGAGCTATCCAAAACAAAAAGATCACCCAATATCGAAGGAATTAATTAGTAAATCCGTGGCACTAAAAATCTCAATAATATCACGTTTGGCCAATGTAATTGTAATGATCCGTCATATTGGTTTATTAGTATTATTTCAGTTTTGAAAATGAGATTCCCTTTTCACTGTTCGACAAATTGGCTCCGGTTTGAGACCTAGATGTCTCTATTTGATCATGTTGGCCGGCTTGGGAAGGAAAAGGTACCGTTTGATAATGCGTGTTTTACTTCAATGATTGAAACAATGTAGCAAAAGAGACGTATATAACACGTGTTATATACGTCTCTGGTAGCAATAATGAAATTTGGAAATTACCCCATGTAACATCCCCTTTAATGGTAAATTTCTAATTTGTCATTCATTATCATGTTATTTCTGATAGGACGGATGGGGAGCGGGGGATAAAAAAGACCTGCCGCCTAGGTGTGAACGTCAACTGCCCTGAGGCGTATATAGTAATTAGAACCCATGTTTAGGACACGGGTAAACTTAATCATGATGAGCCCATTTTTGGGTGGCGTAGACACCCGCCTCAAATAGGAGTTGTACACAGACGATGGCAATATTGTGAGAAAATCATTACTATGCATTCACTATCATAAATATCCAAGGTATAAAATACATTGTCAACTGGAAGATTTTACTGGAGTACTCAGTATATCCCTGTTTATGTGTGCAATTTGCTTTTAAAGCGGTGTACGAAATAAATTTCGACTGAGAAGATGTTCGGTATAACTTTGCACAGTACAACAATTGTCATTACGGCCATTACCTAAGGATCACTTCGCCCGATAGTTATTGACACGGAACTGGTTACACAAATTAGTTATAGAAACATGGATATTGACTGAGAAACAATGAAACAAACAAACAAAGCGATTAGCTATGACTTGTTCGTAATCGCGTCCGTACACTTTTCCTGAAAATTTAATCTGATAACCGTAATATCTATTATTGTATGATATGGACGTTATAATTTGTTATAATCATGTCTGCCTCGTACACTTCTCGTTAAATGATTGTACTTGTAAGTATCAACGTCATCATAGTACATTTGTATATACATTGTACACTTCTTCAACAATGTGACATGATTCGTCATTATTCGTTTAGTTACAGTACGTGAATCAGTTAGTATATACTCACACCAATGGTTATAAATGTCAGTCGTAAACTGTACATAAGCATTCGAAATTGTATAATATACAAACGAACGGAATGTATAGAGTGACAAACTTATTGATAAAAAAAAACAAACAAAAAAAACCCAAAAAACAAAAACAAAACCGAGACATTAAAATAAACTCCAGTGATTGTTGATATTCACATACAGTGAACTATGTTTTGGTTATAGTTTTGCCGCTATGTGAAAATGTGTTTATATTTTATCATTCATTTCCGTAACTACGTATGAAATCCTTTATTTTGAAGATATAAAATGTACTTTGATAAGAAAACAATTTAGCTATTATTATATATAAACAGCAGTCTGTCTTCATGACTCAGCGATATACGTAACATTGATGCCATGTTTACCTGTACCGTGAACTGAAATTATGTGCCAATTTCACCTAAACAATGACACAACTAATGTTTAATTAATGTTTGTCAAAGTTATATCAATATGTTGGAAAGTTAATATAATTGATAGCCAGAGTCATACACTTGGAGATTTACGCACAATATTGCTTTTATTTCACATTGAAGTTGTCGAAATAATCACTTTGTTGAAGGAGAAAAAGATTCATGTGTAAGTTTCAACTAGAAAATAACACAACTAGTTTTCATTCAAACATTAAAAAAATAAAAACAATATATTTGTAACGAAGAAATGTTACAAAAAAAACCCCGTTCACCTGGAGCGAGAAATCTGCGCAATTGCGTCGCGGTATGTCTTCAATAGCTGGGTATGTAGTGTTAACCACAGTGCAGCTATTTCCTTCTAGATGTAGTATACATTTAGATATCAAACTATTTTCAAGCAAAGACTTCAGTATAATTGCATACAAGAGGACGACAGCATTGTTACGCCTCTAAATTGTGAAAATTAAAAGACTTAACCAAAAAATATATGTTACATAGCCAGTGGAAAGTGGTTTTATTTTCCACAATATAAAAATGCACGCATAGGGCAAGGGTTTATTATATTCACCAAGAAAGATGTTGCTTACCAAGATGTAATGCATGATTCTAACTGAAAATGCTGTACTTACTTAAAGGGTTGATTATTGTAAAGGACAGCTTGAACAATTGATACCATGTCCACGATCAAAATCAAACAATTGATTCCACTTCTGGCTCCATCAGACAGCGACAATGTAGTAACAAAACCATTTCTGGCTCCATCAGACAGCGACGATGTAGTAACAAAACCACTATGGCTCCATCAGACAGCAAAACCACTATGGCTCCATCAGACAGCGACAATGTAGTAACAAAACCACTATGGCTACATCAGACAGCGACGATGTAATAACAAAACCATTTCTGGCTCCATCAGACAGCGACGATGTAGTAACAAAACCACTATGGCTACATCAGACAGCGACGATGTAGTAACAAAACCATTATGGCTACATCAGACAGCGACGATGTAGTAACAAAACCAGTATGGCTACATCAGACAGCGACGATGTAGTAACAAAACCACTATGGCTACATCAGACAGCGACGATGTAGTAACAAAACCACTATGGCTAC